ATTCTATGACCCTGGGATTCTGGGATTTKGGGATTCCAGGATTCTGTGACTCTGGGATTCTGGGATTCTATGAGCATGGGATTCCGGGATTCTGTGATTCTGAGATTCTGGGATCTTGGGATTCTGAGATTCCAGGATTCTGGGATTCTATGAGTCTGGGATTTTAGGATAATGTGACTCTGGGGTTCTGGGATTCTGGGATTCCAGGATTCTGGGATTCTGGGATGCAACAGAGCACAGCCCTTAAAAGGAGGTGACAGAAGGACCTGTGGCAGAGCACATCCAGGGCTCCCTGGGCAGGAGGACTGGACAGGGCAGTTCTCATCCTTTGGCTGAGATTTGGGATTGGAATCCTTTGGGATTGGAATCCTTTGGGACTGGAATTGTGCTGTTGGGATTCCAGCACTCGGATGAGGCCCTGAAATCCATCGGGTTGCCTGCTGGAATTTGGGAGTGAGGATTGAATTAACGCCCTTTCTGCACCGAAACTGCAGTGTCACCCCATGGCAGGGCTCACTCTGGGGAGGATCTGTGGTGTTTATTTTAATTCCACCCCTGGAGAATTCCCTCCCATTCTTCCCTGTGATCTTTAATCAGCACTGACCATAAATTAACAACCAGGTGATGCTGCAGCTCAAAACACAATGGGCTTTGTGCTTTTTTTGTTCCTACTGGAGCCCATTGAATGATTTTATTTTGCGGGAAGGCTGTCTGCCTTAAAAAAAAAAAATTAAATATTAATAATATCTGAACTCGAACTTGTTACTCAGCAGAAAACTCTCAGCTCAATCTGCAGCTTCACCGGTTGCTTTTTAAAACCTGAGTTTTGTATAAATCCTGCCTTGTAAACAGATGGAACAAACAAAATGTAAAACTCATCTCCACAAAGAACAACAAAAGAATATTTTCCAGATGGGCTTTGTGATGGGAGATCAAAGTCCTCATCTCAGGCTTGGGAAACTTCCCTTCCTTGCTGGTATCAGTTTTATCTGAATGCAGTTCATCCAGCATTTGTGTTTTTCGATAAAGGCAATTATCTTGATGGAGCTGCAGGAGGATGCT